GCTGTCAAACTGCGCACGAAAGAAAACTTTTATTGTAAAGAATTATTTCTTACACATCAATGCGAGATAGCCTTCGTTTTCGACGATGCCTGTCATGTAGGGTATAGCATGATGACGGCCCTCCTTCATTAATTGTTCTGCAGGAGCTGGCAAAAACATTTCTACACCAGGGACATGCACCTCCGCTGTTGGAACAATTCCAAATGTCACCAAGCGTTTCTTATCCTGCAAAGTAAAAAAAATTGTTACATAGCAAAAAATATTCATGATTAGAGAACAATGTTTTGAAAGGAATGCGAATTTTATTATTTTTTAACTCAATAAGAGAAATTGTTTTATACGATTGAAAAATCAAATATTACACAATTGTAGGCACTTTTTTCCTTTGGTATAATAACAAATATTGTTAAGGGAAGAGCAAGGGAATATACTATCTATGACAGCAAGACGTAACATTCTGTTCGAAAAACAACCATCTGGCGTTTTAATGCCAAATCATTTTCTTGAATAAATTACGCAAAAATTACGATTTATTCGCAGATTGAGATACACGAGAATTCGTACCTTCTCTGGCACTGCTTCCGTGCGAGCAGCTCGCAGCAGTTCCTTGTGGTCGACGCCTCTGAGGAAGTCGACGATGGCGTGTGGATTATCACTAGTGCAGCCGAGGAGACGCGCGAGGCGGCGGGTGGTGCGGGCTGGTTCCGTCTGCACCGCCCATGGGTTCAGCGCCGCACCGCTCATCGAGATAGCGCAATGGAACAGACCTATGGGGATGCAACATTCCTTTCGCCTCGTACATCTGGGCAAAATTTAAATCAATCTGGCAGCATGAGAAAATCGATTATAAATGCGGGAAACTTACCCTTGGACATGGGCGAAAGCATGTGCATGTGAGTAGAAGTGGCTCCAGCACTGAACCCAAACAGCGTCACGTTGCCTGGGTCCCCTCCGAAAGCCGCAATGTTTCTCTGCACCCAGCGTAGAACTGCTACCTGATCTTTGAGCCCCACATTCCCAGGGGCTGCCTCGTCGAGGAACAGAAATCCTATAGCCGCATACATCGAAACATCGTTTCTAAATAAATCTAGAAAAAAACCTTATTCGGCCGTCCCATCAGTGAATATAATTTTTTCTCAATTTTCAGTCGCCTCACTATAAATTTTACCAACTTCTGAGGCTTGTAAGTGTGATTAAATATGATAACTTTTTGATGATAAAATTATGGCCGAAACATTCATATAGCTAATTTTAAAATATCACATTTTCCCTGTTTGGAGTAGGGAAAACATGGTGTACTGGTGTTTGCGGAATCACGCTTGAATGCAATTAGGATTATGTGTTTGAGTCAAACATTCATGAACGATGAGTTCCCTACCAGTCAGAGCCAAATGACACTTGAGAAAATTCGTTTTCATTAACCACCATTTATGAATCACCAGAAGTCATTACCACAAAATTACAATCTTTGTTCTCCCTACACGCCCTAGACATTTGTAACCTTTATACTGAAACCTGACTTTAATTTACACTACTACTTTTATACTAAATATAGGAGAAACAATTCATTCGTATTATAATGGAATTGGATTAATTCAATACTTAATTCCGTTACCGAGATGAGAATATTTGAAGATTAACGCCATTAGCAGATGTTTTTTAATAGCTTACTCAGAATAACAACGCAAAAACAATTTTTCCCCGGCGAGTTAGCGGGTTTGGGAGAGTCAACTTTACAGTTCTGGAAATATTTTCAATCATGATTATGACTTGTCAGTCATCAAGAGTGTCATGAATAGGTTTACTGCACAAAAATGTGGAATACGGCATTGTAAACGATGTAGAGTGTATTACTTGCTATTTTAAAAAACTATCATTTTGATGGCAAAATGAACTAAGGTAAGTTATGCAAAGCCAGTGCAGGTAATATGGCAAAGTAGCGGCTGTGTTGCTAGCTGAAAGCATTTCTGACTGATAGTGCTAGCTTGCAGTGTGTGAGAGTGCAAGAAGTTTGTGAACCCCTTACCAGTCTTGTTGACTCACACATTCGCACTCTGGAGCATTGCAAAGACTGCGCTCAAGTGGTGCAAAGTATGATTTAATATTTTGACAATACACATGAATTTTTTGCGCACTTAATGAGCAATCGAATCAAAGTAATGCTGTTTAATTTTTCCAATATTTTACTAACGTGGGAGATATTTTATACCATGTTTTGCTGTCAATATTGACAATGGGTGATGGGCGAATGGGTCATGGGATATTTTTGATACACTAATGTTTTTGTGTTTTATAGAAAATGAATCCTGCAGAGAAAAGGGTGTTTGGAGCCAAACTATTATGGAAAACATAGCCAGCAATCAATTCTTGCGCTATTGATTTAAAAAAGGATTTATTTTAGGCCGTGAGTTTGTAAAATTAGACTGTAAGGGGTAATTCATATGATACATTAGTACAGCTAGCCCTAGTTCCATGATAATACTAGAAGAAACCAGTTTAGCTGGCCATGGCCATAAAACCGGCATGTGATCATATTACCTTAAAATCACAATGTGAAGAAATAAAAGATGTCATATCCGTTAATCTAATAGATTTATTTAGAGAGCCGGCTTGCGACGGCATCATCAGTGTCGCTTTTGTGGCAAAAGTCTGGAGAAGTCTCTCGCAAATTCGTCGAAAGCCGACTCTCTAAATAAACTTACAGAGTTAGCGGAAATGACATATTTTATGTTTTCATAATTACGTCAACAATATCTCAACAGAATTCTCACAAATTACAGGTTTTTTTAAAACAACAACAAGATACCTGAATCACTTTTTGTAATATAGCTACTTCAACTTGAATCAAAAGTGTTAATTTTCAGCATGTTGCTGTTAATTTGGACAAATATTGAAATATATAAACAGCAAAATTTGAGGCGCTTTACGAGGCCATGTTACCTTCACATACCGTATTTCGCACATAGCTTTTTCTTCAAATAAAAAGCGGAATCGACAAACATAATTTCAGGTAGGCTTATTTAACCGTACAGTATTTAAGATTAAAGAAACGAAAAATATATACGAAATAAGTAGATTGTGTTATTTTTTCATTGCAGGCTTTCCTTAACAAATAAACACAAGTATTTCATCACATTGAAATTTAACGAAAATCTGCTTGCATTTGGGACATTAAATATGTACCACGTAATCACGGCGCAAGCTTTATATGAAAATATTATTTAATTGGAAAATCACTCACAATTTTAAAGAATGGAACAAATTTTAACTATTTATTGATTATATATTCTGGCTTACGAATAGGTACTTCCGAAGTCAGTACATTTTTTCCGAAAGCAACTTTCATCCATCCGTCTTTTCTGCGCACCAAAGACAATCGTTCAGGCTTTGAAAACATGACACCAGGAGTCACAATTTACATGATTCATTTTTACTGTTACGGAGTTTTAGCAAACGCAAACATACGGAGGGTGGCTTCTGAAAACATAAAAAACACTACGCAAGCGCGTGATCGTTAAAACTTCGGAATCATTCGTTAAATTACAGCGTGTAAATCAGGCGGCAACCTTATATAAATCGTTTCCTTCAGAACGCGGGCGTCGAAGATACAAGATGGCGCATGGGCGAGGAACAAAAGTTGATGATGTTGAACCGAGAGGGTTAATGTGAAGACAGGAGATGAGGTGATCAATACGGAGCAGAGTTTTGTTGTGTTAGAGGTGGCAGTGTTTCCCTCCGCTGGGTGGTGCGATCAGGCGCTGACATACAAGTCAGCTTGCGAAAGAATTACTCACCAGGTATCTCCCCATCAGCGCCCCGACCCATCCCTGACAAGTTCCAAACTCCTGTGTAGTAACGAATTACCTAGAACTCCCAATCTGTAGTTAATGGTGACGACTACCACATCCTCTCGCACCAAGAAGTCGGGGCCGAACATATCGGCGTTCCCGCATCCGAACTCGAAGCCTCCGCCGTGGATGAAGACCATGACGGGCTGCGGCACCATTCCTGGCCCCGGCCGCTGGGGCGTGAATACGTTCAGGTAGAGGCAGTCGTCGCTGCCCACGATGTCGTGCGGGTCATTCGGGTCGAAATGCACGCTCATGCCACCAGGCGCCAAAGCATCTCGGACGCCTTCCCACGGTACCATAGGCTGTGCGTCCTGAATGCGGAACATCGCAACAAAATAGCATTGAAGTAAGAGCGTAGGCTTCCGCGGCCGGAGTCGGTATTTCCGGGTGACGCCGCGTCCATGACGAAGGTGCCGACGTTTCTCAGGGCGTAAAGCGCCGGACCTACCCGTCACCCGGACAGCCTAGTAAATAGCATTGAAGTAGTTAATTCACGTTGGAGTGGAGTGTGTGTTGTGAGGATGATTTGGTTTCTTCCACTCTGTCGACATTCAAAGTATTTATGGTTAGCGCATAGTACATTTTCTATCCCTGGACCAGCCTGGAAATTACAAAACGGCGAAATATATTTGCAGGTTATGGACACTCGCAGAGGGAGGTGGCGGGTAAAAGAAGGAAATATCTTAAGTAAACTACTCTGAACACAAAATAACATGCATCTGAGATCAAATTTTTCAAATTTCCGCACAGTGTCAATTGTAAATTAATATTACTTAATCAAATAAAATCATAAAGAGTACGGCGTAAGTAGACTAGTTTCTTAGTAATTCACATGAAAAATCCAAATTATTTACTTGAGTTGATTAAAATTATTCTACTGAAAGGTTTACGAATATGAAGCTGTTTCAGTGCTTACCTTGAACCGTAAAGGTCCAACCGGTGGAGTAGCATAGGGCACTCCCTGAAAACTCCAATATGTTGCTCCCTCGACTTGTGAATCAACTCTCATTCCCCGTAGCAGCCCCTCTGCCACGCGCACAGTCACCGTTTCTGCATTCGCCATTATCTCTCAGTCATTCAACCTGCAACACACGCACACTCAACGAACACAAGGTAAACATGTTTATTTTACCTCGAGGGAAACGCCTCTCAATGGCTTTGTTCTGAAACACAACCTTGCAAACTCTTTCTTAATTCTGACACATGCATCCTCTTTTGATCCTATATATCACAAATATCTTCAAACAAGCACCACAGTTTACCTAGCAAACTTATAAATGAAAAGATTGAGAATGATAATTTTACTTTATTCTCTACGAGTTATACCCAGTAAGTGCACGAATTTTGCTTCAGCAACCGGATAATTTAGGTTTTGAGGAGAAGAGGTAGAAAAGCGTCGACAAATAAATTGCGACAGAAAAAATCGGAAAGAAAAAGTAGTAGGGGTAGGTAGGTATCTCATACAGAAGATTGACGCACAACAAATTGAAAGTTTTTTCACCACTATTGAAATGGAGTGATAAAGGACACCAAATACAATACGATATCACATCAGATATTAAATTCTTATAGAGAAAACAAAGAAGTACATGTTCAGTTAATGAAACGTTGAGAAACCGCATTTAAAACGTTTGGGAAGTAGATCTTAAGTGATAATAGTACAACAGCACATCCACCCTCAAGTTACAAACCTGTCTTTGTTTCTGATGATAGAGTTGGGTTTTTGAAATATTGTGATTTTAACAACTAATTTTAAGACGAATGTACACTTAAGTCAGTGTTTCTTCAAAGGTCTGAATTGTTAAAATCTGAATGATCTTTCTGAATTACACCACGGCTTGTCAAAGCGGATAAAATAGTCCAGGGGTTGCAGTTGACGATATCAACTGATTCTTGATACCTCATGAAGGGAATAATCCAAATAAAGCCAACTATGAACTTATTCGCGTACTTGCCATTCCAAACAAGCCCAGAGGATGACTGCTCGTTCATGAAAAATCAGGAGAACCGTACAAACGACAAGATCACATTGCCTGTCTCGGAGATTCTTGAGAAAAATAGATTACCGTTTGAATGGCTCGCTGCGCAATTCATCCACAAAATCTTTTGCCAGTGCACTTCCTGCCGCTGCCCGCGCACTCTATTTCCTCCTTCCCGACGATGGGGATAGAAGGGGAAAAGTCTGCAAAGTGTCAAAGTCGCCTGGCAAAAACGAGATCGATCGATAAAGATATCTGGCGGACACTAGTGCACTACTTGAAGTCTCGTTGGTGTAGCAGGGAAGGACGGCCGAAAAAAAGTGAGGCATTTTGAAGAGAAATCCATTTTTATCCGATGCGTCATAATGTGAAGTATTTTATGTCTGGCGGTACATTGAGCGAAATTTCTGTGTGAAATATTTGGGAAAGAGAAAATTATGTAGTTCATACAAGAGAAAATGCTGTAATAACTCAATATGTAGATTTTGTCGGGGTTGCTGAATCCAATAAGGTGTCATGTTCGTACATTATCGTATTCGTGCTACAAAGAAAGTATTGTAATTCTCCTGGATAAAATGGAGTATTCTGGATTTTTGATGTTTGAACCCGGGCCTGGAAGCGCGCTTACTCAATTCAACACTGTTTTGAAGTCTACTATACTTTTAGGTATGTTTGTAATCTTTCACGCTTTTCAATATTTTCCAGGGTAGATTAATGCAATTTGCTGGTCACTTTCCTGTCAACTGCTTCCTGGCCTTTTCGAGAAATTCCGTATCAAAGAAATGTGACGCGTCGTGGGGTTTTTGAGTTGCCCCGCGCCGCTTTTCGTTACTGCTCATTCACAGAATTTGGCGATAAAGATGCACAGTATACAAATTTACTCCCAATCACTCACTCCGCAAGGTGTTACTTAGATTCTTTACATTGTATCAATTTGCGCATTTATTTTAGTTTCCAATTTGGCAAAGAGCCTTTCTACAACCTTTTTGTTTCTTGTAAAATAAAGTACAACTTCTGAAAAATACGCATTATCTGTTTTAATAATAATTCATATATTTTTACTGTGATACTATATCGTATTACATAGAAAAATATCATTATATTATTCATAGTACAAGATCTTATTTCAAAATGTATTTTTATGAAACAGATTTATTTAAGGTAAAATACATATCTTTAATATTTTACTTGTAGGTAGTCGCACAAAACATTGTGAACGTTTGCAATTCGTGAAAAATCAGGGTTTTCAAAAAACGTGATACCTGCGCCATTATCTTAATTCTACTTTACACTATCCAAGAACAAAATTTAATCATAAACGATGAAGCCATTTTTTGAAAATTTGAAACTGTCCCAGATGCAAAGTACTCCCCAAAATTGAAATATCAGTTTCAAATTTTAGGGGCTATGAGATCAGCCAGATCGATTACGGAATATTAGTTTTGGAGAAAATCGGGTGAACGGTTTGGCCGCTAGCGTTGTTCACTGACAGCCAGACATATTGCCTTCATTCGATTTTTCGATATCACAAAACATGAGTGTACAAACGAGTGGCTCGGCAGGATGGTAGAGTAGAAGTTTGAAGAAAGTGTAAGAATCCAAGTTTTGAGATGTGCAATAGACAATTCTTTTAAATTTGGATAATTTCTGATATACCATGTAGCTTTCAAAACTTCTATTAAGAATGTTTTTCAGTACTTCTTGTTTCAGCAGGTTGATTTTAGCGTAACCTCTTTATATTGGGCAGGAGTAGGTCAGTGAAGGTCGAATAATATATTTAAATATTATTACTGCTGAGTTCATTGATAATTTAGATTTTCTATTTATTAATGCATACAAATTTAATTGCAATTTGCATACTGTGTTGTTTGCTATTGTTAAGTGCTTATTTCAGGTTAATTTAGTATCTATTTGAAGTCCTAAATATTTAACAAGACTGTCATTAATTATTAAGGTATAGGTAAGGAGGATTCGTTTTAATGAGATTATTTTAGCTTAAGCTAGATTTTTGATGATTTATATTTATTTGCCAATCATTAAACCATGAAATGAAGAGATTTAGATCATGTAGATTGTCTTTACCTACAAGCAGATCACTATGAGTGGCAAATATTGTAGTGTAGACTGCGAAAAAGGCAATGTCTGAATGTAAGAGATTAGGTATATCAGAAATAAAATCATCAAAAAGCACAGGTGATAAAGATGATCCTTGAAGAACTTCAGCTTATACATTATAATCAAATGAGAATGTGTTTATTTGTACTTTCAATTTTAAATTAATTAAAAAGCATTTTATTATATTTTGTTAGTAGTTTAGAAGCCCAATATTTCTCAGTTTAAAAGATAATCTATCATGCCAGATTTTATCAAATGCTTTTTTTAAATCTAGAAATATAACAAGAGTTTGTCGTAATTTTTGAAAATTAGTAGCAATATAATCTGTTAAACGCAGGTGGGGGGTAGTAGAATCCTATATGACTAAATCCGAATTGACTACTAGGAAGAATATTATGTTCATTTATAAATTTATTTATACTCCTTAAAATTGCTTTTTCGAAAATTTTTTAAAGAATTGGAGGCAAACTAATATGAAATTTTCGGGTTTACTTTGTATTGTATTGGGTTGAGGAATTGGTAATATAAGTGGTTTTCCAATATTACTGGAAGTAGTTGAGTCTAAAACAAGCCATATATATATGTAAGTGAATTGAGGAGGGGAAATGGTAGATGCTTAATTAATATATTAGGAATGTGATCTAAACCTGGTGATTTCTTGTTTCTAAGTTTTGAAATTATGTATTTTATTCAGATGGACAGGATGGAGAAATAAATTTAGTTCTTTCAGGAACTCTATAAAATGATTTGGCTAGTGTTTGAACTATATTTTTTTGAAAAGAGTTTCTATAAGGGTGATTGCTAGTAAAGGAGGTTTGAAAATAATTTGCCAGCAGTTCTACGTTTTCTGAAAGAGTAGTTGTCAATGTGTTGTTATTTAATGGGAGTAATTGTTTTTGTCTTCATATCGGAAGTTACTTGATAATTTTTAAAACTAGTAAATATGTTTCCTTAACAACTTCCCCCCTTAATATGGAAATGGACGGTTAGAGAAGAGGATGGATCTTGCGTGACTTCTCGCACAGTTATGCTAGTATAGTACTTATTATAGAGAAAACGATGTATTGCTGCAAAAAAATCAAATCCTGAGACACCATGAAACATCTTAAATTTTGAAAACTACAAATGTTTCACAATAGTTTATACCTACCATTACAAATTTATTATAAAAACTGTATACTTTTATTCTTGGTTTCTGCATTTCAAAGTAAGACCTTTAAACAATGTAATTTACAAGTTATAGGAATTTGGGAAGGGTTTGCATATTTTTTGTAAAATTTGACAAATTTGAAAAGCATACGTAACCAAGCTTTTTTTTCAAAAACGGCTCAATTTTATTCGTTAAACTTTATATTCAAATAGAACTAAACGCACAAAAACCCGTGTTCTTGGCGATGTATTAAATATTGCGTGTCAGTAATTTCTTTCTAACCTTAACTTCTAATCTTAACAACCAAACTGAAATCCCATTATAAAGAAATTCTTTGTAAAATTCTGTATGATTTGCTTCCGGTTTGATACGTATCCGAGTACTTTCGGGATTAAGTTTGACGAAAAACGTATAACAGTCCTGAAAGAACTGGTTTTAAATGATAAAAGTATTTTAAAACCTACCTTCGTGTTCTTTGTTCTCAAAGCAAACGTTGTAGCTAATGAACGTAAGGGAAATCACAGCCTCGTATCTCCTTGACGATCTAACACACGGCGTGGTTGCAGAGTAGATGATAATGCATCTTCAGCCGTGAAAATAAAAATGCGGAAGGAGTCCTATATAGGTCACCCGCTTGCATTCTGCTGCAACACGTGCATTTAATGCCTTTATCTCAGATTCATACCCGAGGACGTTGCAGACTGCGTAATGTAGTGCAAAACGTTATGCAATACCGAAGAAGTTTGGGAGACGGGAATGTCGTAAATACATGTGGTCAATAGGATGTAACGATGCATTGAATATAATCCAGTTCATGTTTTTGCATTCTTTTAATGACCTATTTTTCTTAATTTTTTTTCACATGCACTGAGCAAGTAACACGGTTACATAATCGCGTGCTGCATTATTTCCTTCACACAATGACATTATTATTGTTGAAAAGATAAAAATTATCTCGTTGCTATATTTTGCAGGATCTGACACACGCACCCAAACTGAAATCATTGAATTGTTGTATTCGTGAACTAAGAATCTAGATATTTTGAGCCTAGAGAATATAAACTAATCGCAGGCCTTGGTGTACTTAATTCTCGTGCCCTCTCACCCTCTAAAATTAGCGAGGTTTTTTTCAAAAGAAGACAATGGAAAATGTTATCAAAGATCAAACAGCACAACAGAAAGTGCCATTTACCTGTTAACGATATAACCAGAAAACATTTCACTGATATTATATGCAGTATTTTGTGTAGTTTTACTCTCAATTACCATTAAAAAAACTTTTCAAACTGAATTTCTTACTGTTGACTACATTTAAAACAAATAAGAATATTAGCATCAGGATTTGTTTCATACGATGGGCTGAACTAAATTGTTTAACTGAATCCTTCACTGTATGAAAAAAATATGTTAGTTTAATCTTGTTTAAACGCTAACATGATGTTAATAAAAACGCTTCACTGAAGATGATCAATACCCATTAGCTGCAAATATGTTGGGAATGACCATTAGATAAGTCAATGATTTCCCTTTCATAACACTTGGGGTCTGGGTTGTGGAAATATGCTATCAGACCGAATTAATAGAGTCCCAAATGTCCGTATCAGCCATTACGACAGCGGGTAACGTCTCTTTAGGTTCACACACGTGTGTGCAGTAACCCTCGGGAACGCGTTCGATAGTAGGCTGCCTGGTAAGACGCGTTTGATAGGAACTGTTGTGTGGTCAGGTTGGGGAGATTGGATGGTCCAATTGGTGTAATAGGCGCGAATGCAGTTTTCCATTTCAAATAAACAGCTCTGCACTTCACTGAATATGAACGGTGTACCATTGACTAATGTTAAGATAACATAATTTTTAGGTCTTTCAATTCAGTCAAATCTTAAATGTAACGTCCATTTAAATGAATTGAACAGTAAATTAAGTTCTTTTTGCTACGCTTTCAGAATTCTTTCAAATTCAGTCAGCCTGCACATTGCTCGTTGTGTATATTTCGCCAATGTTCAATCCCGCCTGAGATATAGCATAACATTCTGGGGAAATACATCTTATAGCTCCCTGACTATTAGATTACAAAAACGAATTGTACGAATAATCAGTAAATCCCACCCACGTGATTCTTCTAAGTTTCTCTTTTTTATCTAGGTATTTTACCATTACCTTGTCTCTTCATATATGAATCAGTAGTTTTTCTCAAAAAAGAGCGGAAATATATTTTCAGTAAACGCCGTTGTCTATTACTACAAAAATCAGTAATCATAGTCATCAGATATTAGTATCAACTGACCACTACAAAAAATTCCAATATAATACATGTACATTATTTTACAGAACCTTGCCAGATACATTAAAGGGCATTAAATTCGATACAAAAGTTTATCCCAAGTTAAATCATTTCAGCAGCTGCACAACTGTGTCTATTACAATTAGAGTACTATATCGAACATGTAAAGGAAAAGTATAATAATTTTAAAATTAAATTTAATGTATTTACACTCATTTTGAATTTGTATAATGATTAAAACCTGAAACAAGAATATGAACTTTACTTCCTGGGTTCAACATGACCCCCATCTAACGATCAGGTTTTTCGTCCAGTTTCCACTGTATCCTCGAGTAAATGCTGAGATGCCCCTTGTTTGCTATCTGATTAAATAACTTTATAAAATTAACTTCTCCTCATATCACGACACAAAGTTTTTAACTTTTTTTGACGTATATAAATAAATAAACCAGTCGGGTAGACGTCACCGCCGCCCTCTGCGCATGGTAATAGAAGAAGACACGGATTTTCGACTTGCTGCATCTGGACGTCCACCACGCACCATGACAAGAGAGGACTGACGTGTTGTTTGATAAGACAAACACATCCAACAGCGAAGAGAGGTGGCTTCCGGCAGGTTGTGCAGCTTACTCTGCTGCATCTCGATGCTAGAGGATGCTCTGAGGCCGCACCTTGCTACTCACTACACCTGCACCACACTCTAAAGTGTAACGTTAATTATTTACAAAACCTAAAAGCGAAGAGTGTCAAAGAAACAAATTCAGTCTATACATTTCATAAGGGATAAAGTCCCGGCCTATTAGCAACGAGGACTGAATCTCCTCGTTTAGGCGGCGGGTTCGCGCGCAAAAGCACTGCGCCGTTCGTTTAATGACAGGTGCATCGGACCGAGCGACGCCTGGGCCCCTGGTGCCGACCACGCACGTTACTGGCGGCCAGCGCCACTTGTGGTGCTACCTGCAACTTCAATGTACCGCTCCAAGATTTGGGTGGGTGATTTGATAAATAGCCCGAATTTTATGATCTGATCCTACACTTCTTCGTGATGCTGCCAAAAATTTAGTTGAAAAATGGCATTTCTCCTATGTGGAAAGTTATCGGAAAACGTTGAATTCTAACTATTACTGTAAGCTTAAATTAAAATATTCTCTCTTATAAACAATATGTATTTCTTTGAGATACTCTCTTGAGAAAAGAGTTCTTTAATTGTACAGAAAATATTATTTTTTGAAATTTTTCAGACCGATTACATGGTACATTGGGAAAGAGAAGTGACAGATATCTCGCTTGCGCGAGAAAGCAATGGTTACAAATATTGAAGGGGCACTGAAGAAATAGGATCTTTTACGATCTTTTGTGAAAATTTTGCAAATGAAAACAATTACGGTTTGACTTTTTTTCTAGAAAGGAATTCTGAAGATAACAAAACAAATCAAATTTACTAGCATGAATCATTGCATTTAATTGCACAAAAGCAAGTTATATAAAAATGTTACAACTTCATACGTATTATATGGAAAATTGAAAAATTCAAAATTATTTTTTCGTGTCGTTAAGCACTTATTCTCCAAGTGCAATAAAATTAAGGAGGTTTATGAATTTTGGAACAAAACAATTACTATCCGCTATAACCATGGAGTTGAATAAGGTTTAAAACAATGTTTTTGGAATGACTTTTTTATTTACCAAGATCTGTACATGTATGTTGTGGACTATACTAGGAAATCTTGCAATTCATCATTACTTAAAATCGCAATTCATCATAAATAGTGATGAAAATTGTTTTGTAAATACACATGTCTGACGTTTGTTGGTCATTACGTTTATGTTCACTGCTAGTATTTGCATTTAAGAACGCTCGTTAATCTTTGAACTAAAAAAGGTCCTAATCTTTGCTACGGCAACTAGCACCTCATATTCACATGTTTCCCCGCGCTAGACGTTGAAACGTCAGGGACATTAATAAATTACCACTCCCACAATAAAGCAACCAAAAGAAACTTCATACAATGTTGTGGTCTTGGCATAGTGACAAATGACGGCAAACAAGCGTTCATCCTGTTAATTTGAAGATAATAAAAATGTGTGTTTATAACATATAATGTATCGACGAACTCACAATAAATGAAGGTGACACTACATTTAATTTAATTTAATTTATTGATAAAAAGATGAAAAATTCTAAATGTAGATCTTTATTGTTTTATGTACTTATAAATGTTTCATATTTCTTATTTGTAGACATTGAAATTTTATCATAGTTCTTTGTTACATCCACTACTCTTTCTGTATATTTAAAAATACATTAGGGTAAGCATGGCAATGTAATGTAAATTAACTTTATAAAAACATCTGGAAAGTGCTTCTTTAAGCTTCCAAAGTTCTTCTTTTAATCTCTTAACGGATACCTTCAATTCTGCAATAACCACCGAATGTAGATGCAATTGTAATGCAATTTTATAAGACAATACAAAATATTAATTTTGTGCTATATACGAATTTTTATTATTTCAACTAAAGATTATATTAATAAGTTAATTAATTAGAAACAATAAAGATTCAATAATGTGACGGTTCTTGATATCTCAAAAGTCTGTTAGGTCTATTATTCAACGAACTATTACATTCTGTATTAGGTGTGTTAAATAAAAATGTGTAATTATTGGATTAGTTTGATATTATTACAATATTGAAATTTAATGGGATGTACAAGGGAATTATAATACATTATTTATTTATTCTGAGAGGGGGAAAAGGAAGAAACACACACAAAAATGTCAGACCCAAATACGAGTACTTGAAACATGTGTGTGTGACGCGATGATTCCGAATCTGAAGTCGGAATTGCGTTAAAAACCAAAGTGAAATTGAAAATTATAATTTTCACTAGGCTTATTTGCGATTTAAAAAACTCGAAGGTGGTGGCGCAATTCTGTCTTCGGATTCGATTTCAGCGCTTCGACCTACATAGGGACACATTGGTCAAGTATTTGGGGCTGACATCTTTTGGCTTCTGTAGCCTTGTAATGCTCTCAAATAGCCTCGTAATGCTGCAAGACACCAAATCTAGTATTCACATGTCATTTTCGCAATTTAATAAAAACTGGACGTGGGTAGCGTAATTCTGGCTTTGAATTCGTATACTGCGCATTGACGAACATAGAGAAGCCTGTCTTTGGGTCTGAAAACCTTTTTTCTGTGCCTATGTAATTTGCTGTGTTAGTAGAATGGTTGTGGTTTTATTTCAAATGCGAATAAAAACATTAACAATATATAGTATTTTTGTTGACGCAATAAATAATGTTACGATCCATACGTATTGTAAAACTTTTCCCAGAATGCCACCCTATCGGCGTAGAGGTCGGTGCCGTTTCGTAGTTGAGGGCCGATCTCTAGGAAGTTTCGCTCCTCAGCAGTGTAGGGCTTCCACCGCACTCCCAGCAGCGGATCATCCTCAGGGGTGGGGTCCCTGCAATAGATACACAACACGTGAAACCACCTTAGACAGCATTAAGTCAGTGATAGTGGGAATTCACTTCTAAGCGCGGTCAGGTTGCATGAGTGTGGCAGCAGAGTTTGTCTGAAGTTATTCATAATAGTGTAACATCGGGGCTTGCATCCACGTGGTAGGACTGGAGTTAGTGGCGAGGACGCGCCTCGGGTAGGCCGAGTGGCGGATGACAGGCTGGACAAGCGTGATTGGTCGACGGACGAATAGCCCCGTAATTTATACGTACGCATATTGCAAAAGGGAAGCGTAACAGGCTTTGGGACCGGGAATCGAGAGGCAGCAGGGTGCCAGGAGGCAGCGGCGACGGGTGCCAAGTCTCTCCCTCTCAGTTAGCGAAGTTACTCTGTGAGGGGACCACTTTGACCAAACGGGAAACATATGAACGTAATCTAACTCAGTACCATTGCAATAGATAGTTATAAGCCATTTACAAATGTGCTAACTGTACGCGAATGAGTGAATGGACATAACTTGTAGTTCTTTGTATATTCTAGATGTGGCCGAGTTACTACTCAAAGTCAATGCGGTCCCTTCTTATAGTAATCTCTCTATAATCACATGACTTCTTCCCATATACTTTGCGAGGGGCGGCCTCGAGGCATTCTCTACTGAGTTGAAGCTCCGTGCACATCCACGAGCGTCGTAAAGTCCGACCTGTCTAGGATCTCAAGTAGGAGTCACACTTTGGTCTGAGGAAGATCAGTAGAGCTGTACACATTGTCACCTGTTATTGTAAATGAATTGTATATATGTAAGTCATGTCTGGAAATGTAAATTACTCATCATGACGTCTAAGTAGGTACTATCGTACCCGCTATGGCTTTTACGCAAAAAAGTCTTAACTAAAGAGCCTTGTCGGGGAAAGGTTGGTAGTGTTAGTACGAAGGAAATGAGAGAAACCGATTTCAACATAAAAAAAATTCTTTTAATTATATTACAATTTTGTTCGGCTTCCACGTTACCTCCAACCTCTATTAGCATTCTCCAGGTGCTGGAAAAATACAGAGTGCATCTTTACAGATTTTTTGAGAATGTGGAGAATTTTAATACTGTGTGTAACATTAGCTTTTTAAATATGTGCAATCTGTGCAAAGTTTCTTGTGCTCTGGAATCTCTGACTTAACTCGTATGCATATGAAGTTGAATTATGAAAACAGGTAACGAGTGTTGTGGAAAGAATTCCCTTCTACAAAATCTAGCTGCAACGACAAATTAGTGACAGATTTGACTATTATCCTTTATCATTTACTTCGTGTTGAAATTGACTTACTACCGCCAGATTTTAAATAAAATATTTTTCATGTAACACAATGGACGGATTTACTTTCAAGTACTTCGTTGAATGCGTGTTATGCGTTAACTGCGTAAGTCTACCCGAAGCGTTAAGGAGAAAAAAACCATGCCTGTTTTAATTAAGAATCTCTATTTTTTTCAGTTTTTATACTTTTTCTAGCTTCGTATCAGGCAAATCTAACTTCATTTTATCACTTTTGGATTCAACGTACCGCATTCTTACTGATTCTAAGAAGTTGAACAAAACTAAGCAAATAGGGTTCAGGAGAGAGACAAACCGTCCTTTACACATGATGATTTTTAATAAAATTCTCAGAAAAAATGCTTAGATTCCCATTCTATAAAGGTGTAAATTTGTCAAAAGACCACAATACTAAATACATTGTCCCGAAAAGGGAGCACAGTAAGCAAACTCATACCCTGTCTTAGCAAAGTTTGTCCAGAGGCGCACCATACGCCTTCGCACGATGGCAGCTGTGGAATCTTCTGGCGAGTCCAAATTGTACTCTGTCCTGAAGAGATAACCTAGGTCATCTGCGTGAGCAGCACCTGTAGATAACGCAAACATATAAGAATTTATGATGAAAAGACATGGGCGCAACTAATCCGGCTTTAGTCAATGAGCTTCATGCTTCAGTTTGCGTTATATTAGCGAGAATTTTAAATTCAGCCTGATGCTAAAAGTATCACCTTGTTACAAGCCATTTTGACATGTACATGAAGTATTATTTTTAAAATATTGCATCTTTTTATTTTCATGACACTTTCATCATATTGTTTTTGGTTGGTCACCATTGAAAATACTATCAAAATGTTTCTCAACTCTTCTCGCTTACCACATGGCAAGTGTCTAGCTTGGATTTTCAAACGAAGGGTTCGTGTTGTAGTCAAGGGGTTTGTGACGTATCTGGTGCTGCGCAGAGCAAGCCAAAAGTGATGCGCCGAATAAGAACACCCATGTACTTTCATCTCGTTACAAATACACTCATTTTTCACGTTTTTCCTTGACGAGCGATTTCTGTTGTTTAAACGAATGCGCACATGCGCACAGCGGCTTCTGCGAAAACATCACATCCACGTGCGCATGTAGGTGTTCGCGGAAATTCCCGAAATCGTTCGTCAAAAAGAAGTGTGCAAACCTGGCCTAAGGGAGGCCTTAAGAAAGTGTCAATTTGTAAAAATCTCAATATTCACAAAGAAAATAAAGCTCATTTAATTGAAATTAATATAATTTTACAGTTATTCTTTGAGTACGTTTTGTAGCTTACTGATGAAAGCATCACCTCTTATTTAATTGGGTTATATGAAAAACGCACCTCGTGAACAAATGTTTACGAGTAAGTGAACAAATCTTTAGGATAGGCAAAACAGTCCGGAACAGCGATGGATTCGGGGAAGGGACGTAACTACATCCCCTTGACACAACATTGCTTTGTAACTTAACTCAATTTATTTAAAATATTTGTCACGTATTGTCTGTATTATATCCCACAAGAGTGCCTCTATTCAGCCCGTGAAACAGGGTTTAGAATTTTCAAAACATGGGCTTATTTATATACACCCCTACCAAAATATTCATGCAGTACTACATACCAATTTACGTTTCGAGGTAAAACAGTAAATTTGTGGTGTTCAACGTCCTTCATATGTAATAAGTCTGGGTGAGGATTGAATCGGAAAACTGCTATTCTACTGATGTTGTCTTTTTTATTTCATTTTGAGACGTTACGTCACTAGTTGTTTCAAAGTTCTCGTTACAAAAGGTTTGAAAACAACAGTGTTTTTTCTTCCAATTGCTTAATGACTTACCTCTATCAACAATATTCTTCCAACGTTTTAAATGATTAAATTTGTCATCAACAGTGAATAAATACTGATATAAAGGCGCCTTTGGAAAATTTGCCATACATCTAATGGCATTATAAACTCCCTCGTTGATAGTGAGATCTGAAAACAGCTGAAACATAAAACCATAGAAACTTTTTTCTTTTCCCTGCAGTAACACTGAAATAAGTTTATTGAATATGCAATAAAGCTATTTTGAACATAAGTAATATTGAAGTTCAAAGTTCATTGGGTTCATACAATAAATCCTGATCACACCTATCTTAACAGTTTACAACATGTTACTCTTTATCAGGCAGTAAATGGCATTCGAGTTGCCTATATTAATGTTAATTTCATAGTACAAACCGCTTATACTACACTAATTTTTTATATAAAATGAATCTTAGGATTTCAAACAATTGCTAGAGATGGACAGTACTCAGGTGGTTGTATTTATTATCCTATCTATGATTCATAGTCATTACACTAAAGCCAAGCAAACATTTTTCATACATATATTTTCCTTTCACTCTAATAATCTATCACTAATTCGCAGTCTTCTGGACGCTGTTTATATACCAGGTCATCCTGCATCAACACTCAAAAATTCTCCAAAGATTTGTAAATGTATCAATCGTTTCATCTTGTTCAATCCGTGTAACTAAGTTATTGAACATTCTCGTCCAGTTAATGCATCCTTATACTAAATGTGTAATGTTCTATTTCATAGTTCTCTTTTGTTATGTACTTCGTTCTCTATACACCCAATGAATTAATTACTAGGCCTCAGCTTAGAAGTACTTATTTGGCTAACCATACCGAACATTCGAGGGGTTTCAAACACGTGAATATTTTTTAGGCTAAGTGATGTTACTCCAATGGATCCAACCTGAACACATGAGTGGCTTTGACCAGCGATATAAGTTTTAAGTTGACTCATCAAATTTATCAACTAATCCATTTATTTTCTAATCTATTTATAATCTATTTATTTTCTAATCTATTTCTACTAATTTATCAACTAATCTATTTAGATCTATTTTAAACAAATTTACCACGCAAAAGTAATAAAATGATTTAGCTGTAATGAAAATTCTACTGATAAATACAAAGTATTTTAGCATTGATATCTCCAACAATACTCACATCTATGTTATTCTGCAGAGTATTGCTTGAGAGTGGCTTTCCTCCGAAGAAAAAGCGACGTATTTCATTAAGAGCGTCCTTGTTCTTCGGATTGTCAGCACGAAGTCTCAGCTCGGGAAGAACAGCGTCTTCCCACTTGGCATCCCACTTCTTCGCAACACTCTCGTTGAGTAAATCGGCGACTAGAGGACGGATATAATAATGGGTGCTTAATGAAGTTGCCACAACAAAAGTAATAATTAGTCTATACCTTGCTTATATTAAAATTTATATTTCCATTTAAGTATATACATACTACAGTGCATCAGAAATAATATTGCGCTAGTGTCAGAAGTATCTGATGTGAACATTCGCCATCTGAGAAATTGAGTCATGGAATTACGTTTTATGGAAGATATTTTGCGTGGCTGCTAAATGTACTAGATTATACTACCTCTAAATTATCAATGGAGTATTTTGGAATGTATAATACTAAACTAATACTATCAAACAAAATATTTATCTATTCAATTGAATATTCTATTTTTTCGATTTGAAAACTCAGTCTCGATTAAAATACTTTTGATTTCACGGACAGTTAGTTGACTGAACATTGGCCACATTTACTCAAAGGATTTGTTCTTAAAAACAAAAACAATTTCTTGAAGTCTCGAAGGTTTTTTGTGGGAGTACGAAGATTATTTGCTAACTTATGGAAATAACGTTTTCCGGGATTTTTTTAGTACAAAAACATCCATTAAACACGAAAACAAAAGAAATCCATCTACAGAGTAAAATGGAAGTAATAAGCCTGCTGCGGTAGGTGTGGGGATAGTTTACTGGTCTATGAACTCCCAACGCGCGGGTTCAATTCCGGATTTCCGAAGGGCGGAAAAAAAACAGTATCCATATCCCTCTTGGTGTATGTAAAAGAAACTCAGCGGTATGCCCGGCAGAATTAAATCCCTCCGAC